AGAAATTCAAATATTTTGGTTACTCAAGTAAAACCAAGGTTTAAAACAATTTAGGGCTCGCGTGGCGGCGAGCTGGGACCTAGCTCCTAGAAAGTCCAAGTGGGATTTAGAAGGGGTTTAAGCACTATCGTAACAATATTACTAAATTTATTTATATTTATAATTATGTATAGCTTACAAAATACATTTTATAAACTATAATAATTAGTATTTTTAAATACAAATATTTTTATAATTATTATACATTTATAATAATTATATTAATTTTACATGATTATTATTTTTTAACTTGATGACTATTGTACATTTGCATGTATAAAAATCTATATCTATTTTTATTATAGTTTGAAAATAACTTCAAAAAGATATATAAAAAGCAAAATTGTACGGCACCTTGGACCGCTTAATCACTTCAGGCGTGACCAACTTGACAACCACCTGACCGCGTAGGCGCCACCTAATTGTCCAAGTGCTTAAAAAGTCCGTCCAGACAAAAGTTAAGGCGTTTAGATACTGTGTAATCCAATCTATCATTATATAAAAAGAATAACCTTTTTACAAATATAGAAACTTTTTCCCGCCAAAATCATTAAATCTATCCTAATATAGTGGCTCATTTTTTTTAGTTTGTCAAAACCGTTGTTTGACAATAAATATTTGTTTTTCTTTTTCCTATTTTTAGTATAAATCTACACGCTTATCTCTTCTGTTACAAAATCCCATTGCACGTGTTTAAAAAATCTCATCCCTTATCTATACAGATTAAAAAAATAAAATAAAATAGAAACCAATTCATAATTACTACTAGAAACCCATTATTTTAAAAAGAAAAATAAAATAAAATAGAAACTAATTCATAATTACTACTGGAAATCCATTATCTACTTTAAGAAACTAATTTTCATCGGTCTAATTACTAATATTTTTACAAATATTATAAGCTAATCGGTCTAATTACTAATATTTTTATAAATATTATAAGCTAACCATACAAAAAAATATAATAATAATTTTGAAATGGTGTGTAATCAAATTTTTTTATATTCTCTTATACAAAATAATTTTACATTGTTTGACCCCGAATCTTTAATTTATAATTATTAAGTATTGTTTATCCTCCTCTTTAATTTATAATTATTTTTTTTGCTTCCTCTTTTTAAATAGGAACAATAGTAGTTTCCACTTTCGTCATTGAGTGACTCAAACTCGAGGTCTATTTATAATATTATTAATTTAATATTGTTTCCGTGCATCGCACGGGGTATACACTAGTT